GCCTGAGATAGCATGTTCAATGTTAAAGATCTTGACAGTACAATTAGAAAAAAGGGTTGCCAGGAGAAGTTTGCAAAGTTGCCTCTGAACAAACAGCAGGACTCCTGGAACAATGGGCCTCATTTACTAATAGTTCTGTGGAAACATTTCTGCCCTGCACAAAAAATGACTTTGCACTCAAAGATTTATGAAATGTGCATGCTGACCTATTCTTTTCCTCACCGTCACACATAAGTTAGTAAATCAGAATCATTCTGAACCAACAGTCTTGTGCAGTCATACAATTTGCGTACTCGCTGCATACTGCCCCGTCCCCTCTCTATATAAGGACTACCTCCAGGTGAAGCAGAGGAAGTGGTGAAATGCAAGAAAAAGAAGAGTTCAGCGTTCCAAGGAGAAGCCAGAAGAGGCACAGCTTTCCAAAGCAAAGTGTTTTCACGGGAGTGACGACCATTTAATAAATGACCACATAAATAAAAACTCTAAAATTACAGGAGACACAGACTGTGAAAACAAAGGTTTGAGATGGATTAACAGATTACAAGAAAACTAGTGGAGGCCAGAACCATGTGATCTGTCAACCTCCATGATGATACTGTAAGTGGCATCAAGGAATGATAAAAGTCTTTTTTAATGAAAGAAGAGTTCAGTCATTCAGGAGGGGCTGAGATTAAATCTACAATCATACCAGACATGTCCTGCTGGGAGGAGTAGCTCCAGGACATGCTGGAGAGATTGTATCTATCTGCTAGCCTGGGAATGTCAAGGTGTTCCCCCAGATAAGCTGGAGAAGCTGGCTGGGGAGAGCCAGGTCTGGGCTGCTCTGCTTAAGCTGCTGCCCTGCGACCCAGCCCTCGATAATTGGAAGATTAAGTAGTGTAGTTTAAAGCCTATGCTTTTCTATTTAGTATGTTATTTTCTTTAAATGCATTCTATTATAATTAGGAGTGTTTGTGGCTTACTGTAGTTTGGAAAACTCTAAATCATGACTAAAAGCCAATATTAAAAAGAATTACATTTGATTTAGTTATTATTGTTATTATTATTAGCAGTATTATAGTCGGCCTATTTCTTTAAAGACCTGTCATTTATTCGTACACATGGCCAGAGAGACTTATATTAGTTCCTAAAGTACGAACAAATTCAAGTAAAATTTTTCTCGATAAATCACAGATTTGGTCATCTGTGCAGCAGCTAAGGTTTGGTCCCAAGTGAGTCATGCAACAGGACAATGAACGCAAGCACAGCAGCTAATCTGCAACAGAATGGCTGAAAAAGAAAAGAATCAAGGTGTTGCAGTAGCCCAGACAAAGTCCAGACCTCAATGTGATTGAAATGCTGTGGCAGGACCTTAAGAGAGGTATGCATAAACAAATGCCTGCAAGGGCTGCATGCAGACACAACAACCTTCATCAGGAGTACAGGAAAGCTTTTATTTTGTCCAGCAGCAAAATGCAAGGACAAGAAGGTCACAAATCACTTTAGGTTCATGATAAAACCTGCAAAACGAATGAAGAATATAATATTTACTTAATCAAATCTTGTGATTCTTTTGGAGTAGGCTGATATTTTTAACAGCTGGGGCAAACTGAAAATGTTGAGGTGAGAGCGCTGAGATGGGCACATTATCATTTCTAAGGGAATCCTTTCACACGCTCCTCAGTCCAATCCAGCTGTTATTTTGTAAATAGGACAAAAATTAGACCACCTGTCAGAGCAGGAATTCTTCCCGCTAATTCCAAACTTTTTCTCCATTTGCAGAGCACATCGCAGCGGTGAGCGAGCAGGTTTCAACGTGTTGCATCAGGCTGAACTTCACCTGTTGAGAAAGCAGTGACACCAGAAGAAAGTAACATGCCAAACAAGAAACAAGTTGGTGTGGGTGCTGCAGGTGAAGATAGGCAGCCAAGAGAAAGGTACAGCAGCTCACTGTGAAGCCGTCTCACCCAAGAAAACAACATTTTTTCTCCAATATAGTTCCCCCAAATCACAAAGGGGATCAGAAGCATCATGAGGTGATTAGAGAGGTAAGAAATAAGCATTATTTTTTTTTAGATTTTTCTGCACATAGCTTTGTTTTTACATGAAGTACCGTAACACAAGTCCTCAAGCAGAAGTAACCCCTTCTACACTGCCTCCCTCCAAAACTACAAGTCCCTTCACGTTCATGCCCCACAGCATCTCTTTGACCTCCTTAATCTCTGCTCCCCCTCCTGAAATCTTCAGTCCTTGTGTGTTTTTTGTCCTCTCCTGGCTGCAGACTTCAGGGGATCTGATGCTGCAGACCTCTAAAAAAAAATCCCTCAAACCCATAATAACTTAAATCATTCCTCAAAACACACATTTTCAGACATTTTTTACCCTCTAGCCATTATGTTAGATTACATTAGGGTCAATCCAGCTTAATAAAAATGGTTGGTGGGTAATACTATAAGAGTACAGCAGTAAATGAACAGGGCAAAAAAGAAAAATAAGGAAATATTAATTCAACATAAAATCAATTTAATAAAAAAAAAAATCCCATTGGAATTGTGCCAGGGAGGACACACAGCTCTTAAACAGTACGAAAAAAACATGTAAAATGCTAGAAAAGTGGACCCACGTGTATAATGAATAGTGTGCAGTGGATACAGAGTGTATCCCATGCATCCACTATAAAAATGATAGTGAAAAAACTGCAAATTTATATTTTTACGCATTACCTAATTAAATCTTACGCTAAAGAACTCAGTCCTACATTTCAGGTTATTTTTAATGAATCCTTGCAAATACAACACGTTCCCTCTCTTCGGGAAGAAACTGTCGTGGTTCCTGTCTCTAAATCTAGTCGTCCAGAAGTTCTAAACGACTTCAGGCCTGTTGCCTGAGCTGTGATAAACGTCTTTGAAAAAACCATCAGAAGTGTGATTATGGAAGAGACTGAACAACAGCTGGATCCAATGTAATTTGCATATAGGCCCAACAGAGGAGTGGAAGATTCGCTTTTGACTTAATTAAATCTTATTCTTAAACATGTAGAGAGTAAAGGGACTTTTGCATCGATTTTTCTTCTGCTTTTAATACAATACAGCCCCATATTTTAATTAAAAGACTTTTAGAACAGTTTGAAATCAGGAAAAACCTGGTGGGCTGAATTTTTAATTTTTTAACTGACAGGTCACAAAGAGTGAGAATAAATGGGATTCTGTCTGACCCAGTGTTCTCCTCAAGAGTGTGTCTTATTGCCCTTATTACTCATTCTCTACACAAGCACGTGTCAGAGCAGATATGAAAACAGGGTCATTATTAAATATGCAGATGACTATGCTATTGTCAGCTTACTGAAAGAGGGTGAAACTAGCCACGGTCCACTGATTGATGACTTTGTTCAGTGGTGTGAGGAGTCTTATCTCCAATTGAATATTTCTAAAACAAAAGATTTGGTTAGTGATTGTAGTAAGCAACAAAACGGGCACGGAGTCACTTTTATTAAAGGTCAGAAAATAGAGCAAATGCAATCATATAAATATCTTGGGACCATAATCAATGAAAAACTGAACTTGGATGAGAATTGCAAATCGGTCTGTAAACAGGGTCATCAGCATCTTTTCTGCCTCAGGAAACTTGCTCATTTCCTGATTGACCAGAAATTTGTAACTTTGTTTTAACGTTCTTTTATTGAGTCTGTTTTATCTTTTTGTTTGGTGGCATGGTTCGGTCAGACCTTTGTCACAGAAAAAAACTCACTCAATCAGATAGTGAGATGGTCCAGTCGTATGACAGGTGAGTCACAGTCCCGTTTAGCCTCCCTGTACTCTAAATAGGTACAACAGATGGCTTTATCAATGCTTAAAAATGGTTCCCATCCTCTACGGGGTGAATTTCAGCTTCTTTCCTTAGGACGGAGGTTTCTAGTTTAAAGATGCAGGACAAAGCATTATAAAAACATAGCAAATTCACCTATGGGTATAAATAAAGTAACGTTAACCTTAACCTTTTATACCAGGTATTATAAATCTGTTAAACAAACCCAGGTGATACGATGTAGTATGATACAGTAGTGTCACTTGCACACAGCAGATAGTGTGACTACACATTCTTGTTATTAGTTTCTGTAATTGTGATGCCTTTATTGTTGTGAGTATTTTTCATGGACAGGCACAAGTTGCATTTTAAAGCCAAGACTGCTTCTATAAACATCGTAGCAAAAATGCACCAATTTTGATGTCTATGATGTAGAGCTACAGAAAGAACCATCTTTGCCTTATGTTGATTCTTCCTTTTTACTCGCACTTTGAAACCAGGCTCATCTTCTACATGTGATTCCTTCTGTGTTAAAACACTTTTATAACAGAGATTTTATCCCATGTTTCCTCCTGTGTATATAGAAATATGCATTTTATTAAAATTCATATACTAAAATTCTTACTTATTAAGTTTCCTCCTGTATTGTATCACCTTTTTACAGTATTTAACTGCATTTTATTTTGACCTTTAATTATTAATATAAATTGTTCAATTTATTTCAGCTCACTGTTTTATATTAGGCTATTATATTGCACTTTATTGATTTTTTATTGGACTTTTTCCTCTTTAGTTGAGCTCCAGTCTGTTGGATAATATTTAAGTTTAGTCATAATTTTTTTTTTAGCTTGTCTACTGGAAATAATTAAACTATTTTCTTTAATTTCCGCCCTCTGTAATACAGGAATTTACCCACTTCTGAGTTAAATAAAGAAGATTTTATTTTAAATTCATCCAGCCAGCTGAATCTTAAAATACTGTAAATAACTGCACGGGTTAAAGCGGGCTCCCGAGGTAGCTCTGAACTGAAGCTCATTTTCTACACACCTGTCTCCTATATGTTTTTATGGCAAGCCATTTCGGCGTTTTGAATAATCAAACGGCGTTTTTTTACGCCATTTCTTAACCAGACGTGTTAGAAAACTCGCGATATTTGGCTGAAATGGCTTGCTTCCGCAGCCTCTGCAGTTCGAGAAAGTCAGCGGGAGGGGGGAGAGAGAGAGAGAGATTGAGTTGTGTGTGTGAGAGAACGCCGACGGGAGCGCGCAGCAACGGAGAGAGAAGACCCGTTTGAACGCGAGGAGAGAGAGAGAGAGTTTGAGTGCGAGTGGGTGTGAGAGAGAGAGATCGAGAGTGAACGAGAGGAGAGAGAGCGACGACCGTGAGGGTCCGGGTGCCTGAGGGACGGACGACACGGTAAATATAAACGTTACATTTTGAACGCACACCGGCACCCGTTACAGCCGTTAAGTTAGCTAATATTCACCTCCTAAAGTCGTCGCGCGCTCCGGAGCCAAATCGTCGGTTCCGTTTTAGCAGATGATGTGCGCGTGAAGACGGAGCGGTACACGGGGCGAGTGAACTTGGGGACTTCTTTTGTACAGTGGGAGGAAAATCACCGCCACCGGACAGCCGTTATATAACGGATGCTTATTAACCGATGTCCGGCGGAGGGTACAAGCCCTGCTCCCTCCGCCAGGCTTCTGCCCCCCCGCAGCCACCAGCAGGTAACGTTAAACCGGAGCGCACCGTCCTCTTCGTTCACCAGATGCAGACAGACACATCAGCGCGCGGAGCCGGAGTCTAGGCGCGTGAACAAGCAGGCGGTGGCGCGCATGCCGGGGTTAACGGGTGCATTCGGTCTGAGACGCGCCCCCGTGTGTGTTTTTTACCTGACCCAGTAAAGCTTATCGTCGCTACACACTCAGACACGTGCCTCTCACCAGCTGCCCGCCCCGCAAACACCCCAGCCGGGATTATACACCGGTTATAAGAGGCCGTCCGGTAAAGGCCACGTGAGGTCGCTCACAATATTAATTGTTATATACTGCACGTTGTCAAGGTAGCAGGAGCAATAACCACACTTCCGGATGGGGCGTTTAAAATAAAAGTCGACACAAAGGCGTTTGTTTGACTACTTAACGGTACTTAATCACAATATGACATTATTATAATCTTTAAAATTTATCTGACGGAATTTATTTTGCTACAAAGATATCTGCAGTATTTTATTATATTTTGAATATGCTGGTTACCGGTATATTTGGGCTTGTAAAATGTCAGGAAACTAAGAAAAACACGTTGTCCATGAAATCCCCAAATTATACCATCTTAAAAAATGTCACAAAAGATTGAAAAACATAAAATCTTTTATTTTAGTAGTTTGAATAACTGAATTTTACACAATTTTGACATAAAAGAAAACTAAAGGAACAAGAAAGAGGTGATTTAAGTGGCCATTTTTCTAAATAAAGTTCCACATTTAGCTAATTTTACAAGTGGGCAATGTTTAGAAATACAATTCCCTTTGAAAAGAAAAATAATACATAAATGAGAAAGTAAATATAAATAAATATAAATTAATTTGTTATAAATCTGAAAATCTACTTCTGTTATCTTTGTCTGTCGATCTCTGTTTTCATTAACATCAAAGCATTTCATGGGTGTGTTTTAAATAACATATCCCTTACTGCTTGAATCCAGAAAGGCCTCTTATCCCAATACTGCTGAAAGAATTTAAGATCTGTTTGTTTATATGTTGAATGTGATGGTAATTATTTTAGAAATTTCATTTCATATCTTTGCAAAATTTGGCTAAAACACTCAACTAGTTAATTATATATAATTTATTAGTTGAGAAATAGAGATTGGGGAATGATATGAATATTAATAATACGTTTAAATGCAATTTCTTTTACAAAATTCTATGCACGATCTAACTGGACATCTTTCTCCAACAACATATACGTTTGATAATGTAAATATCTCAATCTGACAACTTTAAGAACACACAAGATATTAATAATATGTTTCCCACCTTGTGTTCTTTTAACTATAAACATGGTTGTAGTACCTTAGTTTTTGCATATGGTCAAATGTTACACCAGAGGGTGAGGTGTGTTGTGAGTATTTTGTCCTCAGATGACCTGTGTATTTGCAAAATCTGTGAAAAAGTTCTGTGAGTACAGATAACTAAGTGCTACAGTTTGGGAAATGTGCATAATTGTAAACCCAATTTAGAAAAAAAGAATTGGTCAGTGTTTTCATCACTTAAAAGAAAAGTATCATTTTGCCTTGATTTGTAAAACAACAATAATAACAGGATAAAAACATTTGCAAACAAACAAGGCAATTTATCTTTTTAATAGGATGTAATGCTTTTATTGTGAAAACTAATCACTTATCACTTATGTTCCTGTCTTGTCGCTGCCTTATTCTCATTACCTTAACCTTCCTCTGAAGCTTTTTCTCTGCGCAACCATTTCTCCTCCCACCAATGCAGGCTTCTGCTTGGGCCTTTGACTAGTGGCTAATTTAAACCACTGCTGACATGAAGACTGGAACAATTTAAATCAGTGTATATTGACTTGCTATAGGAGGGTGAGGTGTGTGTGTGACCTAAATACTTAGGACTTGGAAGAGTTAGTTGGCTTGCAGCCTGGAGTTTGTGCAGGGTGCCCCCGGGAATGGCGGGGTGGATACTGTACAACCATTTCTGCAAAGTTTCCACTCTGTGTTTCTGCTGGTAACCCTGGCCCACCGCCTGTTGTCTTTACAGTAGGTGATGTAAGGCCTGAGCATGAGGAGTGACATACTGTACAATGCATCCTGAGTAAAGCCAGACACACTGGCTGCGCTCACACTGCGCTCGAATCCAGATCACTGCTGAAGTCTACAACACCACATTTTGAAGCTCCTTTTTGGGATGAGTTTCTGACACCTGTCTGAACAAATCACACTCACAAAAGCACAGAAACAACAGACTTCGCACCTAGCACACTAATCCAGGGGTGTTTATCTGAAACAGAGGCCATCCTGTATGGTGTAATCCCCAAAGATCAGCTTATCCCTTTAGCCACTGATTTAATCTGTGATTGAGGTTTATTAAACCAAGAGTCAGTACTGATTTAATTAGTGTTATATGTGGACACTCCAAAACCGCAGTTTCAGTCCTTCCCTCCTTTTTTCTTCAGAGGAGCTGAAAAACAAACAAAAGAAACCTGACCACTTTATTATGATTTCCATGTCACTTGTTACCTGAACAATTTTTAGAAATTAAAGCTTCTACCAAACTAATGTGACTTGGATTTCATTGTGGACATTAACCCTTAGGGTCAGGATGTTTTCATAACAAGTAGTCCAAATCACAGATTGACATATTAGCAACCAACCTTATGATGTGGACGCTTTCGCTTTGATGAAGTTTGATCTGTTTTCGGTCTCTTCTTCCTGCAACATGATGGCATTCCTCTGCCCATCGGAGACCCTCAACATGAACAGTTTCCCTGTGCTCATGTGTTTATATTAGTCTAGCCGTAGCTTTGTGCTTTGTGGGTCAGAGTAGAGATGTAGGAAGTTTAGGCTTTGCATGCATATCTGATTTTATTACTCGCCATATATTTGTATTTTATAGCTTATTTAATCTTGTGTGTACCTGCCCGCGGGTAGCTAAATCTGTAACAGGAAAGCTTTTCTCTAGTGAACAGTTCCTGAAAAATGGAGAATAAAACTAAACTGAAGTCACTTATTTAAGCTCGCAACTCCCCAAGAACTGGTCTGTCTGAGGACAGATCTCAAGACTGGTTTATTCCCGGTTTCAAAAGTGAAGCCAGTGTGGAAGTGTTTTAAATTTGCATTCTTTTAATGACCTTGAGCAAAAAGCCACCCAGATGTATTGAAGTCTATGGGAAAATTAACACCACTAAACACTTTCCCCATGAGTTTATGGTCTCCGTTGCTGTTTTTATTTCATATTAAATGAAAACAATTGTTGATTTTGTAAGTTATAGCTGAGTGCACTGAAGGAGAATGAAGCAGAGTTATTTTTCTATGATCTGACAAGCATCTGCCTCACGAGCATATGACTCTTTTAAAATATAGTCTGGTTTGACCAATATCTGTACACCCAGTTAAAGTTCCTCTTGTAAGGAGAAAGTTAAGATATAAAAAAGATCCTAAAAATGGTTAATAGAACCATTAGTAGTTAATAGAATGATGAAAATTTCATCTGCTTTGGAAACACCTGACATAGCCCTAAAGCTATTAAAAAAAGCATTGTTAGAGTACTTTTGCATTAAGAGGTCATAACACTGAATAATGGTCACCGTTTGAGCATAGATTTTTGCATTTCTTACATAACTTGTGTTAGTCTTAGTATACTTAACAATATTGCCATAAAAACAAGATTAGCAAGCAGATGCTAGGACATATTCTGACATCTGATGGGAAGAGTCAGTCCTAATAAGGCTCTCTTTCAGTGTTTAAGTGTCTGTCACAGGCATGTCTGGCTTGGTTTTAAGGCATTTCATGTTAGGGCAGGGTAAAACCAGCGTCTTTCCACAAGCAAATCTTGCCACTCAGCAGCCATGAAGTGCCTCCAAATACTAGATTAGTTATTTAAACCAGGACTGACAAAGATGCATCCAAGTCAATAGTTCTTCATTTTTGTGATAACATGCATTTCCATTCCCGATGTTGGGTTTATTAGAAAAGGGTGAAAATAGATAGAAATGAATGCCATTTCTTGATCTAGAGGTTTTAAGTAAGTTTCAATAATAAAGATATTTTTGCACAGTTCTTATCTAAACCAGGTTCACACACACACAAACTCTAACCCTTATAATAATTCAGACAGCCTGCATTTTAAATTAAAATTGGCCATGTAAGACTCGAGTGCAACCTCAAGATATAATAGGAAAAAAATCAGAATAAATTAAAAATAACCTAAACATTTGAAAGTTATGAGAATAAAATGGGGGATACCTAAAAGTGTCAGACTTAAAAGAAAATCTGTAAGATTATTTCTAAATAAGTGATAAAATAGACAGCAATTTAAAAGTAGACGTAACAAGCAGGACCCCTCTTTTAGTGAAAGGTGCAAACCGTCAGCGCATTTTTTCCTAAAGATCAAAGGCTGTGCACTAAGGACAACAGTTATGGGACGTGATGGAGTGATGAAAGGCTTTAAAGGAAATAAATCAAACCTAAAACAAACAAGCAGCCAGGGCAGAGTAATTTGAACTGGTGTAGGATGTTCACTCGTTTCTGCTGCACTTTGAACAATTGCAATAAGCTTACTTAGAGGAATACAAGCATGCAGGACTATGCATTTGAAGGTTTCTGTGTTTTTCCACTATGATCTGTTTGCAAATGGAATGACCATAAACTCAATGAATGTGGAAAAGCTGAGATATAATTTGTTTATTTCAAGGTATCTCAAGTTTTGTGTCATCTATTTTGCAAATCAATCAATTAATTTGAGTTTTCTGCTAAAATTTAAGGGATTGGGGTGAAGGGTTTCTTTCAGCTCGGCGTAAGGTTTCAGCTTTTTAAAATCTTGGCAGTGACCTAGGTGAATGTTTTCAAAATACTGCTTTATACTTAAATTATGCAGCGGTTTTATTAGTCCAGGTCCAGGTCAGTTAAGAATTGTGCTGCATGTGGCGCATAAACTAAAAAGATGTATAATAAACTTTATTTTCAACAATCACTGAGGCACAGAAACTATACTCACCAGTCAAATCTGATAAAAAGAAATCAAACAAACAAAAAAACAAACACAAAGTTTGCTGACTTTGCCCCTAGTTATACTTCTCCCTCCATCTTCCTCCCATAGATATCAGTTAGGTATTCTTTGAATGCCGGGACTCTCTCTTATAATGCCTTTGCTGAAACATAGAGGGACTGAAATGTGATCGCAATCAGTGTTTTAATCTCCCAAGAAGAGCTGTGTCAATAGAGCTGTAATGCTTTCTTTGTTTGCTATCTTAAAATCTGTTTTTTTTTCCTGTTTGTATCCCTTACATGCAATTTTAAACTGTGAACAGACATGCACGCAATAGCTTGTTATTCTGCTACAGCGTGTTTTCCAATAATTGTTCGTAAATACCCCTGTAATACACCTAAGTGCCTACAATCTGCCAAAACAGCTGGTAAAAAAACCTTTAGGGCTCACATTTCAAGCCATATGTTTATTAAAAAAACAGGATTTTATCTTAAAAACATATTCTGCGGTTATAAAACTGTCCCTGTGCTCACTTTGCTTTGTTCCTGCTCCTTGGTTTCGTCATTAATTACCTTCCATATAACAAAAAATGTTAATGACAACGATGAGATGAGAGGGTGATGAAATGAGAGCCAATATGAATTCGAGTACTTACAAGGTCACACATGGTTGCCTCTCCACTGAACACCTTTCTCACTGCTGCCTTCCACTCAACCATTCGAGCTCAATAATGAGACACAATGTCCTAGAAAAAGGTTAATTGTTTATCAAATAAAAGCCAAATCGAATGCTTCCCATATATGATAGAGTCTGCTTTATGTCATTGTAATGTGAGTATCTGTGGGTTTTAAATTGTTAGACAAAGCAAAAAAATGTAAGATCAAATAAAACTTGTTATGGAAAATTTTTCTTACTTGTTTGTTGTTTTATATTTTCTTCAATTATAACCCCCCCAAAATATTATATAAACAATTATTGTCAAACATGCCTGAAAAATGCAGAAAATGTAGGACATATAGGAAAAAGAACCAAAACAAAATAAAACGTGATACATCACTGAAAAATACTTCTGTATTGATAGTTGTTGGATACAGTGTGATTGGTACCACAAGTACACAGATCTTTGTCATGCTTGTGGTCAGGATTTTGATTTGGCCTTATCTGCAGTCTGAATGCAGCCACTTTGTCTAATAAAATGGGACAGTTTCATCAGGTTGCATCAATCACTCTGTGACAGCAGTGATGACAGCTACCCTGATTCCAGCAGACTACTCTGAAGACACCTGCATGTCTGTTAATATGTCAGGGCTTAGAAGCTGCTTTTCTGCTTCCACCCGCCAAGCACAGTTCACAGAGCCATACCTGTAGTTTACCTGTAATGTGTGGGCAGCTGAGAAAGTAAGAAAAAGAAAGATGTCAGTCACATGCTGAGCATGATTCCTTACTCAGACCTGACAAATATGCTCCAGCTGTACGTGTACTTATGTGTGTGTTTGTGTGTGTTTTGTCTTTCTTCCCGCAGGAGAGGGGGAGGTCTGAGGGAGCGCGTTATCGTCTGACAGATCGAGACAGGTTGAATGAAGCTGCACCTGGTGCTTCTGAGGGCATTTCCCATGTTTTGATTTGCTCTGTTTTTTTAACTTTCTAAACTTGGTTTCACCGAGCTGTTCCCTGCCATGCCGTCCAACAGTCCTGCTACTGGTGAACCACCCCAGACGCCAGAGAACGACACTTCTAACGATGTGGTGAGCAGGAGCTTCAATATAAATAATAATACTGTATTTACGGAAACAGTCTAACTGAATCAGAGTAGCAGTTATGTCTGTCACCGTGTGAAATTTTCACTACGAGATTATTGTAGTCAGAAGAATTCACAATAAAAATGTTATCACAATAAGAGCTACAAAAGCTAGAATGCTAAAAATTGTAGCTAAATAGATTAACTGAAAAGATCTAAGCCTGATTGCTAACTCAAATTTGTAAATATATGCATGTGTAGAAGCTTTTATTTTTAAAATCTGATACCTTAAAGCTTCCTGGAATAACTAGAGCTTGTATTGAGATCATCTGACATGTTTGGGATGAACCTGATAACTTTTAACAACTATCTAAGGTCTTTAAAGTTGAAAACCTCAGAGAAAAAGCATCATGACGAAAAACTGACTACAAACTGGTAAACATAGCTAAGTCTGGGTTTTATTTTGAAAATCTGACATATTTTTAAAAGCAGTTGTCTCACTTGTTGACTATAGAGAAATTTACAAAAAGTACAAATACAATGCCAGCATATCCTAACACTTCTGGAAGAGTCCTAGAAGTACAACAAACGTAAAAATAAAAAAATTCCATTTAGAAGAGACATGAGTGTGCCAAAACAATGAAAGTACCTTCACATTAAAACATGAATTATGAAACACTCTCCAAAAGCCATAAAAACTGTGACAGTGTCCAAAGTACTGTGATAAATCCATTAGGCAGTATATTGATGAATAACCCGTTAATAAAGGCTTGAGTTATTTAAATTATGAAACATTACATCAGTTTTATACTAATTGTCTTGTATGGAGTGACAACAGTAATTATGTGTTACTGTATAATGTACAATATTTACCTCTTTAAACAGTTTTGTAAAACTAAATGATTATGTATTGGAAACACTTAAGTAAAGTACCCAAACTCAGCTGTAACCCTTGTACAGTTCAGCTCCTGCTGCTTCTGTCACTTTTATCATCACTGCTTCTATTATTATACATATTGAAGGAGTACTACTACTGTTATTTTTGCTGCCACAGATATTATTACAGCCACCACCTCTTTTACTACAGCTGTCATTACCACCACTATTTTGGCTTCTTAGCTCATGGTTGAGAGCTTTTTTTAGCCAGCGCTCACAGAGAAGCTGGCAAGTCTGACTGTGTGTTTGTAATAACTAAACTTGTAGTGTTTTTTTATTTACATTCACTACAGGCCTTTCTACTTTCCACACTGTTGTTTGACCACATGTACAGTAAACGAGACGAGTGCAGGGTTTAGACTTTCAAATGGTCTTTAATTTTTTTTTTTTAATTTTGGACACAAGTAAGGAGACAGGTGAAAAATGGCTCCATTCATTTGTTTTACTGCAGCCCAGGGTGGCCCTCGTCAATCTGTGAGAAATTTGTAGTTTATTCTATAGTCGTGTTGTTATAAAAAGGCCCACCTCAGTTGCCAGCTTCCCCATTCACATGATGGCATCAGACCAAAACAAAGTTTCCCTTATAGAGCTGTTCTTTCTAACTTCCTGAGATCTAACTCTCTCATAAAGAGTCGAGCAAAGCCAAGAGAGAAATCGGAGGAAGTCTCAGTTTGAAGACAGAGGGGAAGTGATGGCAAGGAGACACATAAAAGAGGTGTGGGAACCTGACTCATGCCAACTGTAATCTATTGAACAAGACAGGAGCCAGAGGTGCCGGCAGAATAGCTCAGAGAGTAGCTAGCAAGTGTTTTCAGAAAATTTGCCCTTTATGCAAACAGATGGCAGTCTGCTAGTGAGCAAAGCATTCACAAGGAGGTTTTTGGTGTGGCGCTGTATATAAGTTTGCAATCAGTTTCACTTAGCAACTGCTAAGTGGTTGCCAAATGGTTGGTCACCAGTCTCCTGTCTTGTCCTACTGGGGCCTTATCCATTTGACCCTTAAGAGTCACATGTCCGAAAAATGTTGAAAGGTTAATTTCATGTAATTGGTGGTCACTGCAAAACCTGAAATGCAGAGATTCCCAAAGTGTTGACTGTTTGTCTTTTATGTGCCCCCTAACACAAAATTATATTGTAGCTTTCATAGTAATGATAATACATTTTATTTGATTTCTCTTTTCAAAACACAGAAAACAACGTCAACTTACATCATGAAATTTACAACTAGAACAACATTAAGAGAGATTAAAATCCTAGAATGATATGAGTGCAAAACATATAAAATTTAAAAAACTTAATAGTTAAAGTTGATATACTGATGTGAACAGGCAATGTTTCGGGCTATGATTTAACTAGTCTAGCTGACAGAGTTGAAGTTGAAGATGAAGCGCAGCGCAGCTAAATACCTTTAAATCCATTTTTGTTATTAACAGCAGCTATTGCCCTTCAAATATATTTGCATCACATTAGTAAGACGATGCAGCCAAAATGCATATCAAAGTATATTAAACAGTTAAGATAGTAAAAAAAATCACATCTGAAGGGCGCCACTGACAAGAGCTACTAACATGCAGAGGATAGAACAGCAAGATAAAGTAAGAAATGGATGATTCAATTAAATGCACATACAAATTGTGCTAGTTGGGAGTTTATGTAAAGTCGGCTGTGCAAATTCATTCTTGCAAGCTGAACATATGTTTATAGGTTGCATGCCATCCACAATTTTCTGCATGGTAATATACAATCACAGGCTTTCAATACTTCACCAGCAAACCTGTGAGTCCACAGATTTCTTAGGTGCTGCTCCTTTTCCCGAAATCACCAATCAGAGCTAAGGATGAGCTCTGACAAAGTAGATCATCTTTCTTCTCTAATGCCTGTGCCTGTCAGCATTTACAATACGCATATGCTTACAAAGACAGTTTGATGACTGTTGAAAGGTGTGCCCCGGGCGTAACAGCGATATGTAACATCCTAATCATGTGAAAAAAAATGTTTTATTTCATTTCCACAGCATTTTGTTTAAAAATAAGTTATTTGTGTTTCTGACCAAGTGTGGAGTGTTTATTACCTTCTAGATGTGGGTTTAAACATCCCTTTAGCCACCTACCTGATCTCTCCTGGTGTATGCTGTGAATGCAGAACTAGTAATAACAGTACACAAATTCAGACAGTTTCTCTTTGACGGTATATACGAGGTGCAATCAAAAAGCTCCTCAACCATACCTATAAAAAGCAAAAGCTATAAAAAGCAAAAACCTTTTAGCTTCAAGGTTATCTCCATGTGGAGCTGCACCACTCCATTGTCCTTCAGAAAGCTAAGTCTTCGATTTCAGAAAGAGGATGAAGCCAAGTCTCACAAGCTGGGCTGGAGTACAGGGTTCCCCACAAATTCTTCTGAGTTTGGGGCCAGTGGTGGCGTTGTTACTTAAAAAAGTAATGCATTGCGCATTGTGCACCACTTTAAAAAAAGGAATGCGGTATTTTACCTATTTACTCCATGGAAAAGGTAAAAACCGTGGATTAACAGTGTTGTTTGCACCACACTGGCGGCACAGAACACTGCTTTTGCCTCCGTGACTACAAACACGCAAATTACCAACTCCGGAAGACAATTAAAGCAGCCAAATGTGAGTTCAGGGACAGAGCGGAACAACAATTTGACAATCCTCGGAGAATGTGGCAGGTATGAAGCGTTGACCCCCATCGTGAGCAAATGCTTTGAGAGGCTGGTTGGGGACTTCATCTGCTCTGCACTACCCAACTCATTGGACCCTCTACAATTTGCAAACCGCCACAACAGGTCCACTGATGACGATATAGCCCTGACACTACATACTGCTCTCTCGCAGGTGGAGAAAAGGGACATGTATGTGAGAATGTTTTTTGTACATTACAGCTCAGCATTCAGTACCATCGTTCCCTTGAAGCTGGACAGGAAACTGCAGGACCTAGGATTGAGTACCTCTCTCTGCAGCTGAATTCTTAACTTTTAGTCTGACAGACGCAAAGTGGTCAGACTGGGCAGCATCACCTCATCCCCCGTTATAATGAATACTGGTGCACAACAGGGGTGTGTACTGAGCCCTCTCCTGTACTCACTCTACACCTACGACTGCACGGCCACTAGCAACTCCAACATCATTGTGAAGTTTGCAGACAACACAACAGTGGTGGGTCTTATCACCAAAGGTGATGAAATGGCTTACAGGGAGGAGGTCAGCGCCCTGACACACTGTTGGCGAGAGAACCGTCTCACTCTCAACATCACAAAAACAAACGAGTTGATAGTACACTTCTGGAGAAGTAGAGAAGCACACAACAACATTACCATCAACGGCGCTGCAGTGAAGCGAGTGAGCAGCTTCCGTTTCCTAGTTGTACATCTGGCAGAGGATCTCACATGGTCTGTTCACACGAACAAAAAAGTTCACTTCACATATATGCCATTTCTTTTGCTCAATAGTCATGCTGCTGACCTCTGTCTATTTTACTTTGTATATATGTATATATATACACACACACACTCACACATATATGTATATATATATATACACACACACTCACACACACACACACACATATGTATATATATACACACACACTCACACACACACACATATATATATGTGAGTGTGTGTGTGTGTTTGGTATATATATTTAGTAATATGCATACATTCTTATATTTGTAAATATATTTATTATAATTCTCACATTCCTGTTCTTATATTTGGTTTGTATCTTATGTTTCTTGTGTTTTGCACACAAGAATTTCACCCACATGTGCTGTACCAGTGTACCAGCACATGTGATGTGACAAAAAAAGTGATTTGATTTGATTAAATTTTTTTGCACTGCTCACTGCATGTGGCAGCACAGTAGCAGATAGTTAGCAGTATTGTCTAAGAATAAGAAGGGCCATAGCTTGAATCCTGGCGGGAGTTTTATTCACTGAAGTGTCCTTTGGGTACTTCCGCTTCTTCCTGCAGTCCAAAGCCATTGATATGAGGTAAATAATGTGCTTGAAATGTATAGAGTAAAGTGCTGTTTGACTGTGTGGTTAAAATGTGG